AACACCTTTTGATACAACTTTAGTGCTATTTCACTATAGCTTCTAAATAGTTGTACAGCTCTGGTTTTTACCTTAAACAGCTAAACTAGTTTGAGGCCTGGATAAATCACAGTACTCCATATACATTCAAAGAGCAAAAAAATGCAGCCAGCTGATTCTGGGAAGTGGGATTTTGAGAACACCCCCCTCAGTTACAGCAGTTTATACTTCAACAGATATAAATGGCTTCACTCTCAATTTCCAGGGCAAATAGAGAGTACCACTTGGGACTATATCAATCAATACCCTCTGATGAAAAGCTGCTGAATTTGTAAGACTGTAGCTCTGACAGCTACAAAAAAATCCTGTGAATCATCTGTCTCCATCTATCTCATGCTACTGTTCCCTCCTCCCAGTTTTTCCAGGTAATGTTTGAGGGGTCATGCTCTAAGCAAGCACTCAGTGGGCTGGGAGCCTGGGTAACCCCCAATATGTGACCTCTTACTGGAAAACCATGACAGGAGCTAAGGGCAGTAGCAGGAGGTTCCTTTCAATTTTCCACATGGAAAGCATCAGAACACAGAAAAGGTTTTAGACTGAGGGGATAGAGAAAGCTGCAATAGAATAATCCGTGTGTTCACTTCTTTATCACTTTTCAGATCCCTTTTGAGGTGTAGGTCCACTTCACTGAGAATTTCGTGCTGTGGTGGGGCTTGCAGTGCAAGCTGATGACAGGGCACTGATGTACTCCCCTCCTCTTCTGCTCTTGACGTTACGTATCATCTCTCCCAGCAAACCTCTCCCTAAGCCTGTGCAGCCTCCTTGCCCACAACAGCTCCTGCTTTGTTAGCCCACAGCACACACTGACCAGCTTTAATGGCAAAGACAAAAACAGGTACAAAAAGAGGTAGTGATGCCTCAAACTCAGGACTCCCTGTGGACTACCTACAAACAGGATTCCACATTGGACTGGAACCTAGCTACCCTCCTCCATGGCCATGAACTCCTGTATTCTTACACACACCAAATGGTCACAAAAAGTTAAGAGCCAATGGTCTCTTCCTCAATAGATTACCTCAGTAAAGAAAGAGCAAAAGGGTAAAACATGAACATAACTGTCTAAGGACCATGCAACCCTAATTTTAAAGTCCATTTTTTATGCACACAGACCCCACCAGTTCAGTGGGAACAGAAGGCAATTAACAGGACTGGGCCCTTGCAGCACTCTGTTGGCAGAAACTTGCCAAGACAAACATTTTATGTAAAGAATGCAGCAAAGTGACTGCAGTCCAAGCCTTTGAAGATCATATTACCATGGCAAAGACAACTCCATTTACATACATATCTACTCTCCCTGTAAACACAAGAAAATAACTTTGGGGCTAGAAAGAGAATTCAATGGAGAAATAAGAGTCAGTCAGGGAAAGCTGGTAGAAAAGGTAGGATTCAACACTGGGGAAGCAGAAAAGAAAACAAACATAAATGACCAGCGTTCAAAAGGAAAGGGCAAATACTATAAATGCAGTGAGAGCTTTCTCTAGAAAAGGGAGAATAAACAAGCACATGTATTTCTTTCACATGAGAGAGAAAGGCATAGCCCCCATACAGAATGGCATAAGTAACCTTTTCCCACCCTAAAAAACAACTGGAAACTGTGTAGCCATACTGCTGCATCATCTAAATCAGGCTACTATGTGCAAACTGGGGTACTGATGCATGGACCATGTGGGAGCAGCTTAGGTCATCACCAGGTCACAATAGCTGCTGGTTATTAAGTTCTTTATTATGTTAACATGCCTGTCCAGGACACTGTAGCACTTCAAGAGCTGATTCCCAAGTCTTTTAGCCACCCTTGCTGGATAGAGAGGGACAGCCTTCACAGGCCACAGTATACCAGTACAGAGGAACAAGGAGCTCCTGGACAAACTGAAGCACTGAAAGGAAGCCTGAAGAGGGTGGAAGCAAGAATGGGTAGCCTGGGAGGGATAGAGACTGTCTGAGCTATGAGGGACCATGTTAGGAAAGCTAACCTGCCCTGAGAGAATTACATCTGGCCAGGGACACCAAAGGCAACAAGAAAAACTTGTTTAGGTACATCAGTGATAAAAGGAATACTAAGGAAAACGTGAGTCCTCTCTGCAAGGAAACAGGAGACTCTTTTGACAGGCTCAAGAGATGGGCCTGTGCCAATCTCATGAAGTTCAACAACACCAAGTGCACCTGGGTTGGGGCAGGAAATCCCAAGCATAAACACAGACTGGGCAGAGAATGGACCAAGAACAGCCCTAAGAACCTGCTGGCTGATGAGAAGCTCAATGTGAGCCAGCCCTAAGAACCTGCTGGCTGATGAGAAGCTCAATGTGAGCCAGCCACATGCCCTTGCAGCCCAGAAATCCACCCACATCCTGGCCTGCATCAAAAGAAGCATTGCCAGCAGGTTGAGGGAAGTGACTGTCCCTCTACTCTCTCATGAGAGCCTACCTGCTGTGCTGCATCCAGCTCTGAGACACCCAGCATAAGAAAAATGCAGACCTGTTGGAATGAGTCCAGAGGAGCGCTAATGAACATGACCAGAGCTGGGCTGGAGAACCTTTCTAATGAACACAGGCTGAAAGGGTTAGGCTTCAGTCTGGAGAAGGTTCTTGAGAGACCTTAGAGCACTCTCCATTACCCAAAGGGGTGTAGAGCTAAAAGAAAGCTGGAGAGGGAATTTTTACAAGGATATGTAGTCCTTGAGAGAGGAACTTTTTAACAGGGACAAGGCAGAAAGGTTTCCAACTGATAGAGGGTAGGTTTATATCAGACACTATGAATTCTTTACTGTAAGACTGGTGAGACCAGTACTGGAACAGGCTTTTCAGAGAAGTTTTGGATGCCCCATCCCTGGAGATGCTCAAGGCCAGGTAGGATGGGGCTTTAAACAACCTTATCTAGAGGAAGGTGTCCCTGCCCACAGCAGGGAGGGCTACAGTAGATTATCCTTAAGGTCCGTTGAAACCCAAACCATTCTGTTTCATACAGCAAGACACCAGTTAGGCCAGCTACTTCAGCTTCACCCACTACACAGCTTTTCTTCAGCCTTTAAATTCAGGTTAAATACCACACTGACACAACTACAAGCAGAATTCTTGAATTCAAACCAAACCAAAACCATGCAGATAAAATCCAATTGGTTGTAAAAGGACAATAGAAAGTTTTTAGAAAACCGGAAAAAAACCCCACTAATACATTCTAGGAGCATCCAGGAAAATTTTTCTATACTTTGCATAGTCAGTTGGCATTATCTTTGTATCTGTAAGAGGATTAACCACAATACCTATTTAGAACACAATGGTTATTTAAAAACCTTAAGAGAAGATGACAAGGCTCTGATTTTCCCTTTGGTTTAGCAAAGCATCCAAACAGCATTTCCCAATCAGATTTTTCCAAAGGATGAAAATTTCCAATACCCAAACTCTTTAAAAAATCCGTATCTGAGATCAGTTGCAGCAACTCAGTTTATTGCAGGCTATCACAAATGCTGTTCTAGTTATTGAAACTAAGAGCTGCCTCACTAAGCAACTGTTACCAGGCCTCCCAGAGCACCCCCAAGAAACTCCAAAAAGTGGCAAGAAGATACAGCAGATACAGGACTCCTCCACAGACAGACATGCACACAAACACGCCAAGTGCAACCCCTCCTCTGCTCTCAGGACAGAACAATGATGTCTCCTATTCCCTTTGCTTCACAGAACAGTATCTGTTTAGCCAAGAAAATAGGAAACAACTTTATTAAGCGTTAAGACAGTCCTGGTAAAACACAGCCTGCAGATCTGTCCCTGTGAAGATATCCATCTGCCATCTGAACATCTTCTTAGCACTGCCCCAGCATGTCTGCCCTCGTCTCTGAAAGCCTGTTTCAGTACTGTTCTCACCAGTCTTACAGTAAAGAAGCTCTCTTCCCACCTCTTCTGTGTAGTGCATGAGATGTATGGGAAAGATCAGTGTGGCCACACCAGTACATTATTACCTTTATTTGCAACTGTGTAAAACCTGGCCTTCTACTTTATTAGTGATGTTGAACTATTTTTTTTTTTGTATAAGAATTTTTATGCAGCATTCACTGCAGCAATTGTGCTTTTTCTATTAGTCGTCTCTAAAACTGGAATACTCTCCTCAGTGCTTGGATTTAATTCTAATTTTGCTGCTCCAGGGGCAGATCAAAATGGAGCCACACATGTTAACTCAATCTAATACAATAATTAGAAACATTAGCTATAAATCATTTAACAACACCAAATAGCAACTGCATGACACTAAGCTTAAGAATGATTTTCCTGAAAACAAGAGTAACTGGAAGGTAAAAGAGGGAATACATGAACTCATAGACTTAACAAATCCAACAAACTTTCTCCTCTTGATGACAATACATAAATAAGATCCTCTATTTATTTGTATCAATCTCTGTAGGGAACAGAGCACTAGTACATAGATGTTCACAGGAGCACTGCAAGGCAGGCAGCAAGGGGCAGACAGGACAAAGGCACTTGGTTAAACAGCAGTGAAATACTCACACTGATCAGTGCTGCAGTCAGCCCCTACTGGAGACAGGCAAACTCACACTCCCTCAGCCTCAGCACCAGCCTTCATTTTATGAGGCTTCATAACGTTCCGTAATTGCTATATTTTTTTCTGTCATTCTGATAAACATCCAGTGGCCTAGATAGGACATCCCACAAACTGGAACAGGTGTAGCTTTTCAGCATTGCTCTGACCTTCTGACATAACTGAGAATCAAACTCAACCCTATCACTTGGAAAATTCAGGAAAAACAAAGGAATAGGAAATTGATTATTTCAGTCCACAATGTAGGAGTCATAGGATTTCCTTTGAACACTGTTTGACACGAAATCATACACTGAAACTCACCAGTTGTTCCCACTTACACTCAAGAGGGGCTACTCAGACATGTATCATATATCATGTATGATGTAATCATATATCAAGTTGCCCTATTAATACAAGATAGGTCAGGCACTTACCACCCAAAACTTCCAGCAAGTTCTGTTACACTACAATTGTAACACATCTATACACCTTTTCGAAGAAAAATCACCAGGGATCAGTCCTCCTCAGAAGCAAAAATATTTGAAGACATTGTGAAATGATTTATATTAAATAAATAATTGAAGCTTTAAGATCAGGTGAAAGTCTCATGAGCAATTAACAGATGTAAAGCCCTTGCTTTTCATTTGGAGCTACTAGAAGAAAGAACTTCAGTATATTGCTGTCTTTGCATGTTGGTACTACCCACATATTACTGCTGCAGTCGTGGTACAGAATGCCCCACGACCCAGAGCAGCTGATAAAACTTGTGATCAATCACATGTTCAGAGTTCAACTGTGCCAGCATACAAAAAGTTAGGAAAAGTCTAGCATCATCTCACATGGAGTTTGCTTAGGTTATGGTAACATTTGACACCAGCATTCCAGCATCCTCATTAACACTTGACCAGATGGCATCAAACTGACTTTCCAGATTGCAGGCATGCACTTAGGATGCTTGTCAAGGGACAGAGGGAGTTGTCTAACTGTATAACTGACACAAACACAAGAGGGAGTCTGTAAATAGAGGTAAACTAAGAAGAAAGTCTTTTGCAAACACACAGCCTTGTATTTTTATGCCACAAAAATTCACCTCTCCTTGTAGCTTAATTGATGTAAAAGCCATAGAGCTTTGACAGCGTTATCCTTTCCCTCAAAGAATTTGCTTTTGGGGCCATCATGAGCCTTTGCATATCATATAGTTCAAGAGGGCTTGCAACAAGAGCCAAGAAAAATCTATAGCCAGCTGGCAGTGCCTAGGAACGTTTGCAATCTTTCTGTTCAGTTTACTGGATTTCTCCTCCCCCGCTCACCCCCTCCCAGTGCTTCAAAAGAAACTCAACTGACATTTTTATTACTATGAAGAGATGAAACCTGAGTTACATTTCCCTATAAAGCAGGAAATGCTGCCTAGCAAAGCCTCTGCAGATCACCTCTCCTTGCAGAGGTTACACAGCCCCAGCAGACTCACCCGCCTCTAACTAAAGGTAGTTAACATCTGGTAAGTCTCCAAATATTCCCCAAGCTGCTTCTTCAGCCCACACCAGCCAAGGTCTACTTGCACAGACTGTCACTGCAACTGTTTTAGAGGAAAGCTTAGTGATGTGTCTGACTCAAGACTATATTTCTGAGGGCCTAGACAAGGTGGCATTTCCAATCTGAATAATACCCATTTTTGCAATGAAAACTTGAATTCAAAAGTTATGGGTCCTCTACTCTAAGATCTTTTATAATTATTCTCCACACAAGCAGACAGGATTTGGGGTTATTATATACCTGCCAACTTCTCTCATGTAATTCTGAAGGAAGCTGATGCGTTCACTTCTGCTGAATCATTCAAGACGAACAATAAGTACTCAAAGAATAAATAAGGAATTAAGTTATTCTCCAGAGACAGAAGTTTGTTTACCTTAAGGCTTCTTCCTATCTCCTTTTCAAACTTCTTCAAAGATACAGCCTGCTTTTTGTGCAAATACTCAAGCCTTGTCAGCAAGTAACAGGAAATTAACTACTAATTGCAACAGGGCACCTTTTCCTTCTCTTTGCATTCTCACCACCAACAGTAACAGCACAGGGCTATCTGTCCTGCCCTACTAAGTCATGCATAAATTTTAAAGTCTTCATTTTTTTCAATTCAAAAACAATGCAGAACTTGTTTTAATCTTTTAGCTCTCCTTAGCTAAAGAAGAAGTGTCAAATGGGAAGCAACCAAAACTACTGTAAATGGAAAAGGGAAGTAAAGGTACAAAGACCCTAAGTGAGGGGTATTTGTCCCCCATCTACTCTCAGGTAAGAAAATGCAAGTTAAGTGCTCCTGTCACACAACTTGTTCCCAACTTAGCTCTTCACTTATCAGACTGACTCCAAAATTAGTTGTCTTTTACTGTGTTAAACACTTATTTCTATTACTATGTTTAGTACAATCAGGTACTAAATGCATGTAATTAGCTCAGAACTTTACATGACCAACACCACCCTGAGCTTGTGTAAAGAGTTTAACACAGATACTAAAGTAGCTAAAAGTCTATCATCCTTCAGATACTGGTGCATCTAGTTCTTCCCCACCTCTCTCTGTATCACTGAGCATGTACAGAACCATGTTAAAACATCATCTAAAAAAATATTTCTGAAAGCAAGATCAATACCTAAAAAACCCATAGTTTTTGTCCAGTGATAATAGTCAAGCACTCAGAAGTAAAAATTCCTTCCCATTTCAGTCCGGAAGGTGAGAAGCTAGAGTCTGCTTTTAGGTAAGAACTGGTAAGGAATGTTGCCACTTAGAGGAAGTTAAGTTACATCAAAATCAACCTGTACCTCCCCCAACCCAAACTACTTCCTAAGAATTCAAACACTTTATCCAGATGTCATTTCTACACATTTCCTAAGTCATGCACCACCTGCTAGTTGAGTTCTTCAGTGTCAGGAGCATGTAGGTTTCCAACTGACATCTTGTGTGCAAAACTCAGAGAGTTCCACTGCTCTACAGTAATTCTCCGTATTTTCCCCAGTTGGGGACATTTGGAATACTCAGGTTCTTCAGCATGAATTCCTTTTGCAGACTCTGGACTCTTTTGTCCAGTTGTGTTGCAACAGTGCCAAGAAAAATCTAAGAGGGCTACCATTAAAATGCTGGGGAGTTAATACTTTGATTCACATGTGTCACTCTCCAGACAGCGGAGAAGTCCCATGAACCAGTTAATTCCCATCTGTGTTTATGGAATTAAAAATTTAAATGAAATTACTCTGTTATATGAATAGTTGTTTATTCAGCCATTCTTTGCATTTTACAGCTGGAATTCTGGAAACTCAAACACCACATCTTTGCCTGTGAGCTTCTTGTACACACCAGAAAATGTTTCCACCTGTGAAGACAAATAAATCTTGCTTATACATGCTGCATGAACAACTCTAAGTTAACATACTTAAGGTACTATACTATTTGCCAGTGTATCTTCACTCTGAGGCAATTTTTTTTTTCTAGATTAAGGTAGCTGAGGATTTACACAAAAGATACATTTCCTGTAGAGTATTTGGGCTCTCTCTGATTTTCAACAATGAGTTGAACAACAGTGAGACCCTGAGAGCTCAGCAGGCCCAAACACAAGCTTCATTTCACCCAGCCAGAAAAAAACCAAGCAAAATGCAGGCTCTACTGAACACATCTGTTTAAGGTCAAAACTAAGTGCTTCACTTGAAAAACAAAAACACAAACAAACCAACCAACCCAACCAACCCCTATTCATACAAAAAACCCAATAAAACACTGACTGGTCCCATGAGGGAACTACTTTATAATCCAGGGGCTTTGGCAAGTTGAACTAGAGCTTTAATTCAAAACTGTCTTGCCTCTATTTCCAGCACCTTGGGGATGTCAGAATGCCACCCCCACCTGCATGAGAAAGTAAGTTTTTTTTTATTTACCTTGTGTTCAACATTGTTCTGTTGTGCTTTGTCCAGATGGACTTTTATAAGCCTGCTGCCGTCCAATTTTACGCGGATTCTCTTGCCCACGATTTCACTTGGGAAGACCAGGTCCTCGAGAATAGCATCGTGCACTGCAGTAAGTGTACGGCTGAAATGCCACATTGATACCATTAAAACACATCCTCTTAAAAAATTTCCAGTTTTACAAGGTTTAAATCTTCCATAGCATGCTTTGGCTGAAAATTCAGCAGCGTTTACTCTCTTTAATGCCACAGTGTAACAATACAGCACTATCACAGGGCATGCAAACAGAAAAGAAAAATTCTACAGAGTGTAGAAACTTAATGACTGCACAAGAAAAAGCAGCCAGGTTTCTGACCTTTTAGATCATAATACTGATTTGAGGCAAGAGCCTTGAAACATTGTTCTATTTCTACACATTTAATAAATATTTAAATCAAAACCAAATTGCTCCTTCTGCAACTCTGCCAGAGACACTGACTGGAAAAGTTTAGGTGTGTAAGTAACCTCAGCTGCACAGAGTACATTCATAGAGACCCAGTTTTGGAAACACTGGTTTCTTCATCTGCCTACGCCCAAGCAGCTTAGAAGACCAATGTAATACAGAAAAAGACTAGCTGGCCAATTCAAGTTCCTGCTTAGAAGACTGCTTGAAACCTGCATGTGTGTTCCTGAACTGTTCAGAAATGAGCCAACATGAGAAAAGGTGGCCCAACTCTAGAGGATTAGTAAGTCTTCTGATCCACAGCATCCTGATCCACAGTTTCAGGGCAGTATCACCAGTAACTAACACCTGTGTCTACATCACCACTTCACACCTGCCCAGACTGGCATAGCTAAGGGAGACAGACATCCAAAACAACACAGCAGCCTGCTCTCATCTCAGGCTGAGACAGGGGCAGTCCTGCACACCTGCCTTTCCTCGTGCAGAAAAGTGGTGGACAGTGTGCCACAGACACAAATGCCAACTTCTCCAACCACTCTGCAGTGCTACTTAAAAGAACACAGGCAGAGTCTTCCAAAGGCAGGACTGCAGCTAGATGAGTATTGTGAAACTGTACTTTTAAAATCCATGCCTGAAGACTGCAAAATACAGTAACACATGACAGGTATAATACTGGGGGGGGGGCAGGGAGAAGCTACAAGACATGCCACATGTCATAAAGAGGACAAACTTTTAAGACATGGATTTAGATAATGATATAGCAACATATAGATGAGACACTGACATCCACAGAGACGTAGCAGTGTTGCATGTCTAGCAATCCAGTGACTAGATGAGAGCAGGGAGGCCATTTAACACAGATGACTATAGTATTGCTATCAAATTCATATCCAGAGGGACTAGTACTCGTACCTACAGCCCTTCTCAGCCACTCTCCCTCACTGCATCCCCTTCAGTGTGCCAGCCTTGACTTCTGCACACAGTCTAACATGTGATGTGGAAGAGTTTCTTCCTACAACTTTAAAAAAAAATAGTTCTTGTCAGCACACTGAGGTAACAGAGACAGCAGGTTGGGGTTCCTTAAGCCAGCACTGCTAGCTAAAAATTTGCTACAGCTGTAGCTGGAAATAAAGAGAGTGCTAATGCAACACAGTGCCCAAAAGTGACCTTTCTACTGAACACTTTAGCAGTCAAATGACAGATACAAAGCAGTATTTCAAGCAGTAAGAGAAAGGACAAGACCAGCCAATCACTTGAATGACATCTCAAAAACTCAACTAACCATTACTTGACTAAACTACCAGCTACAAAAGAAGGCTGTCATACTGAATCAGTAACATTTACCAACCTCCTCGGACGCTTTTGCTTGTTTTTTGTGCGGCTTTTTCTTGTTGGCTTGGGCAGAATCCTTCTCTGTTAAGGCAAGAGAAGAACAAAAAGGCAGTTCTCAGTTATCTGGTTGTTACAATGAACTCAGAAACTTGCACCTTTTCATGCAAACCAACGCATAAAAAACCAAAAAGGAAGACTTAAGTATGCTTAAAGTTACATCAGCGTTAGAAACTAGAGAACTAGAGTTGCTTGCAGAATGTGAAGTGCTGTACTGCTGCATTTCTCAATTACTACTCCTGCATTCAGTACATTGAAATAGAAGATTTGTACTTCATCCCTTCTCTCCAAGAAGAGTTTACTGTGTCTCATCAGCACTGTAAACACACTTCTTTGGGAACAGAAATCCCAGGGAATCTCAAACTTTCATTAGACTAAGCCTCTGGTGCAAACCAGAGTAGTGAGCTCAGTTCCACAGAGAGCTAGGGGACATCTGAGATTGAAATGCTAGTTTTAACAGAAAGATGTATTGCACAATCCAGATCAAATCCTGGCTTAAATATAACCTGTTCCAAACTAGGATCTAAATGTTAGGTCAGTAAAACCTATTTTCTACTTTCCTACTGCAAGTGTAGATGTTTTAAAACATTCTAGGATGCAGTTTCTTTCTGCATTAAAAGTTTTAGCCACCTATTATACCTATTTAGCAGTATTTTCTACCATCACATCACAGCTTCTCCATGATTGTATTCATGATGGGGTTACCATTATCCAAACTGGGTCATGTCAGTCAAAATCACATGTTCCCTTCTAAACTAGATTACTGAATTGATAAGGAATTCTCAAGGGATTACAGAACCACAGAATCTAAAAAAAATTATCACTGAATATGCTGAGTTGGAAGAGACCAACAAGGTCCATCAAGACCAGCTCTTGGCCCAGCACAGAACATTCCTACAAGTCACACTGTGCCAGAAAGTATTGCAGAAACACCTCACAGCACTGTGTCAGGCTGGTGGTGTGACCACTTCCCACAGAGAAATCACATGTTCCCTTCTAAAATAAATTACTGAATTGATAAGGAATACTCAAAGGATTACAGAATCACAGAATCTAAAAAAAATTATCACTGAATATGCTGAGTTGGAAGAGACCAACAAGGTCCATCAAGACCAGCTCTTGGCCCAGCACAGAACATTCCTACAAGTCACACTGTGCCAGAAAGTATTGCAGAAACACCTCACAGCACTGCATCACACTGGTGCTGTGACCACTTCCCACGCAGGCGTGCTCCAGTGCTCAACCACCCTCTGGGTCAAGAACCTTTAGGTGAAGTGAGCCAGAGGCACTTCATTAAAATGAATCTCCTTGGCCATATAAAGATTCAGGGTAAGGTGCTCTGGCTCTAGAAACTTCATTGAAAATTTTCACCTAGCTTCAGTTTAATTATCCACTCTGCAGACAGATCCCTAGTTTGTCCAACCCTTAAGTACTGGCCAGAGATCCCTGCAACACCTTTTCACCGTAGCTCCTGCCATATATTTAGAACTTGCATGAGGTTTTTTTCCTCCTTTCCTAGTAACTTAAATTTTAAGTGCCTAGATCATTCAAGTGTAGCAAATTTCCTAATAATATTTGCTCCCTTTTATTTTAAGCTTTGTGTGCAAAACTTCCGACAGAGTAAGAGTGGCCAGAGCAAGAAAGTTATATCCTCCATGAAACAACTTTACATCTCACCATGTTTCCACTGCTGCCTGCTGAAAACATTTTAGATAGCACCCACTGAACACCCACAACATTTCCTGCTGGTACAATGAATTACTATCACTGTTACCTTGAATGGGTAATGCAACACTGGAACATGCGTGAGCCTGGACTAGATCACCTGCAGATATCCCTTCAAATCAACATTTTTGTGATTCTAAGGGTTTTTTTACCTGAGCAATGAACACCACATGCTTTCCACTAAATTTCTTCTCCAGCTCCCGAACTAGCCGCACCTGAATCTTCTGGAAGGACTTCAGCTGAGGAACTGGTACAAAGATAATGATGGCTTTTCTGCCACCACCTACTTCAATTTCCTGAAACAAAAGGACAAAGGAAGCATTAGCTGGGGGTTGAGAAGTAATGTTTGGTCTGACCATGAATCCTAAGCACAGGTATTGATAGTCTTGCTTCTGACTCTGTAGGGCAGGGAGTGCATCAGAGAGCAGTACCTGCCTTAATGCCCTACAGACCAAGCACTGACAGAAACACTTCCATCAGAGTACTTGTTTTGCTGTGGAGGAGTGATTGGGCAATAAATCCCACCACCCCTTTCAGAATCACATCCTCTGAATAAGCCCATTCCTTCTGCAAGATGAGACTCAGGTGCTAGAACTACAACT